GAACATCATCGCACCCGACGACAACAACGAGGGTAGTGGCGACGGTGGTAGTGGTGGTGGTGGTGGTGATGGTGGTGGTGGTAGTGGTGGTGGTGGTAGTGGTGATGGTGGTGATGGTGGTGGTGGTGGTGGTGATGATGATTGTGGTGGTAGTGGTAGTGGTGATGATGGAGGAGGAGGTGGAAGAAATTCTAAGGAAGGTATCAACGGTAGTGGCGGTGGCAGAGGAGGAAGAAGAGGAAGAGGAGGAGGAGGAGGAAGAGAAGAAGAAGAAGAAGAAGGAAAAGATGAATGTGAAGAAAAAGATGGAGATGATCGAGAAAAAGGTAAGGAGACCTGTTGCGAAGATTTCAATCGAACTTCCTCTAGCGTAATAATTTCACGTAATTTCTTTAACTCCAAAAGCAATGCAGTATTATCTTCCATCATTTTTTTACTAGTTTCACGAAAGATGTTCATATTGGTTGTCAGAGCGTTAAGAGTGGTTTCGGTGTTCGTTCGCATCTACGATGGATCAAAAAGATATACGTAATATCAAAATATATAGATTTTGTAGTATACAAAATATTTATCATACATTTTTTCAAAAATTCGTAAAGAAATAAGAATATAATTTAAACATTTTTAATTTAATCTCACGGTGTAGAATCAAATAATGAATTTGAAAATAATCTTACCTGATTGAAATCTTCCGAAAGTCGCATCATCCTTTCCGACATTACATGCAGCATTTCCTTTTCGGAATGCATTGTTTCCACCAGATGATCAAATTTCTTTGTCGAAGAAGAAATCCTCCATAAAGGCGGAACGATCAATTTCTGTTGCAGTTTTTTGTAACCCTGTAAAAAAAATTGATCAATTTTATCTAAAATAGACAGATGTTATAAGTAAGATATTTATATATAAGTAATAAAAAAATATTTACGTACAGACATATATGTGTAATTAAAGTTATTTATAAAATTGTTTCTACGATTAAAAAATTTTTCCAAGTGCTAAGAATACCAAAGTATATCAAAGAATTTGTTTCATTTCAATATGTTAAGAATTATTGAAAAATTCGATTGTAATTCAATATAGCTGCAAAGAGGAAACAAGAATATTCATTTTAAATAAATTAATTAATAAGAAACTTACGACATTTATGAGATGCAGCAATTTTTTTATCAGCCAAATGCTGATAGTGATCACCCATGTGATTATCATACGGGTAATGTTTCTTCGTTGAAATACGTTGGTGGGAGTGTCTCGAACTGTTGTTTGGGGTGCCTGGTGATTACGAGAGCCATTCCAGTGATATTCTGTCTAATTATTTGAAAATACAGAGAAAGAAATTTTGAATTATTAGGATAAATTAATAAAGTGCACATCTGACAGGCAGCAACTTTAATCGGGAACTGAACAAATGAAAATAACATATATATAGCACAATTTGATAAAATTCTCCACATAAAAGATTTATATTTTTCCCTCAATGCTATATTGAATTACGACATCATAAGTGAGAAATACTTTATTTACACTTTATATACTATTTTATTTTAATAAACGACGTGTACTTTTTGCAAAGAGTCGTTACGACGACAATCATAGTCAGATAGTTTGGAAACGGTTGTTGATTCCGGGAAGCGGCTGTCTTGATGAGATATTTTATAGAATAAGGGTAGATCTAATGGAAGCGAATGTTCCTCATTCTTCTTCTTCATTTCCGAAAGCGGATCCGTCTCCGTGATATCCGACGCGCCGGTTGCCGGTTGCCAATGCCTAGCCGCCTCTCCTTCGTCGGCTTTATCCTCATCCCCGAATGTTAAGGTCGTTCGGCGATAGCGTTTCATCAATCCGATCACGCGAGGTGTCGTGGACTCCGGCGTCGGCGGAATATCATTTTTCTCGGCTTCTCGCTTCGATCTTTCGCATTCATTCGATTCATGCTGATGGTTCAGTTTCCTCGGCGAAGTCGAAGATGTGCAAAAGACGGAGGGTAGACTCGGCAGGGACAATGTCGAGACGGAGATGTGGGGGAACTTCTTATACTTGTGTAACAAGAACTCGCTGCTTTCATCGGCGTCGCCGCGAGTCTTCCCGCCATTCACTTGCCGCAGATATGCAAAGATCTTCCGGAATTCACGCCAATTCGCTGTCAAACGTTCGCTGATCTTTTCGAGCGCGACATCGAATTTTTTACAGTCACTCGATGTTCTCCTCTTATTTTTATCCGAATTATTTCGCAATCCATCGTCAGATCTATTGACGGATTTACGGACTGATACTCCGAGCTCGCTCCGCTCGTCGGTCTCGCATAAAATCTCAAAATGTGGGGCTTCCGAGACGCGATCAGTCTCCAATTTGTTGCCAATTATCGTCGACGACTGCTCGTCCAGATAGCTATTTATCTCACGCATGAAATTATCATTCATCGAAAACGTCTTGTCTAATAAATAACAATTGTCCATCGTTTCAAATATATTATAGTGATTCTCTCGTTGATTCGAACTGGGAAGTCGTTTTTCATCGAAATTCGCAGGTTCTGGGACATTTGTGAAAACGCATATGTCGTCACGCGATTCCAAATTGGAGCGAAATTTCGTTGACTTCAAAATATTTCGATAAGTTTCTTTATCGACGGTATTCGAGGATCTCTCATCATGTGTTATATTAGCCATTCTATTTTTATTTATCTTATTGTTCAAGGATGATAAACAGAATGAATTCTCCGTGAAATCAAACGGCTCGCTGGCGATCGATTTAATAGTATCCTGCTCGCGTTCACAGTTTTCTAAATAATTATTAGAATAATTTGTACACTTGGTATCGTAAATCCGAAGCTTTGACTTACAATACCTGGACGAGATCGGACTCGATTGCTCTATCATCTGCGCAACGATTTCGATTTTTGAATCATTTTTCAAGTCCTCCAATTTCGTCCTAGATTGTTTGGAAACGATCTCCGGACTGAGCTTATTATCGCAGAGCGGATCCACGTGAGGCGATTCGAATAGCACCGATTCCGGAGAATATTGATGATGTGGATGCGAAGTGTCGCTCGTTTCTTTGTCTTCATTTCTCTGATCAAAGAATCTCGGCCGAATGTTTTTCTGAGAAGACTCTTGCACCTTCAGAAACTTAGTCTTCTTCCGCGTTCGTTTATGCTTGCGTCTCGTCATGAAATATGTATGTCCAGATAATCACTATGTATTACATACAAGATCGTCTCGCGATGAATTAAATACCTATCTATTTGCACTCTTTATTATAGTTGCACGATTTAATCAGACTTTAAAGCACTTTCATACGAATTGCGGGTACGAATTGCGGGAGAATTATTGTATCCACACTTGAGAGTTCGTTACTGTCCATTTCAAGGTTGTCTACTTGTGTATTATTGTGGTTCGGTTATTTACATATGATGATACGTAGCTTCCCGTCATGCGCATAAATAATATATAAATCTATCGATTACTGATCGTTTCTATCAATACAGATTAACTTTAATATCTTCTTTTTCTAATACTTACAATTTGAAAAAAATGAAAATTAAACCGATTATAATTTCGTCATATTTAAGTTTATCTTCTTGTATAGTCTATCATTTAAAATCGATTTTAAAGTATAAATAAATTTATGACATCTGATTATCAAAGTCATAATATACAGGCAAGTTGAACTTTCATTCGAAGAAAATTTGAACTTAAATTTAATTCATGACAGAGAACAAATATAAAACTAATTAAATAAGAGAAATCCTATACTCAGCCTAGCGAATCTTAGTGCGGATCTTAAATATTTTTATGTGAATTTATATACATATCAAATTTTGTAAATTTGCACGCTGAAATCTTTTCCAATCTTGAAACACATCAATCATGAACAGAACTAGAGTATAGTAATATCACATATTAAATACATAAAATCTGTGATATAAGAAGAAATTTTCTTACATTTAGTCGAAAGAGCGTTTATTCAAACTTTTCTTACATCGTACACAAGAAAAAGTTGCTCGAGCAGATATATTACAATTTTAAAAAGTCCAATTTTTTATTCCTTATTTTACATAAATTCCTATTACAGATATAATTTTTCTCTACAGTTTCTATACTAATAATATTTCACTTATACTATGATCTTAATATTCGATAATCTGTCCACAATTCTATATTTTTAACATACATATCTGCAAGTCAAGAAAAATAGGAAGATACATTCACAACTTTTGCGCTTTTCACGATAAAAAATTTCGATTGTTGTGTTAATCTATCATAATTACAAGGCGGGCAAAGGCCAGCAATTCTCATTACACGCAATTCGACAGAGCACGCTCTATCCAGCTAGGCCCGACAGAGATCTCACTTTTTATTTACAAAGTCTTCTCCCTTCTGAATATTTTTCTTAAGCTCCGGGATGGCGGCGTCCAGCAATTTTTGCTCAAAGCTGCTTAGTTTACCTAATCCCAAATTCTTCTCAATTCCATTTTTCTAAAATTTCAAATAAATTCCAAATGAAAATTTTCATTTTTTTTTATAATGATGTAATAAAGTAAAACATCTTTTATACATTTTTATTTGGAATAATCTTCCTAAAAAATTTTCGAATATTTTTTCAAAATTGAATTGTATGTCGTATTATTCTAAGAACAGACAACATAATAAAAAATACATTTTTATTATATATTGATTAAAAAACAAATCATGTATATGAAGAGAAGATAATGTTTTATTTGAAATTATTTCGATGTCTTTACTTACGCCCAGAAGTATCGGCGTAGAAAAGTATTTGGCGTCAGTGACATTCGATTTGACGTATGAGCACTCGATGATACCCGTTTCCCCATTCAATGCTCTTATTAATGAAAGACCAAATCGTGCGCCAGCAAAAGCCATGGACAAAGTCGCGGATCCAGTTCCTGCCTTAGCTTTAACGACCTCGGTACCAGCCTCTTGAATTCTCTCGGTAAGAGCTTTCAGCTGATTATCCGGAAAGGAAATCGACGGTGTGCACTGCGAGATCAACGGGATAATAGTGATGCCACTATGTCCGCCAATGACTGGGACGTTGACTTTTTGTGGATCAAGGCCCTAAAAAAACAATCATTTCAGTATTATCGGTATCTCAACCTTTTTTTTTAAATTTTTTTTTATATTATGAACGAAAGATGGAAAATAAGCGACGTATTTATATCATTCCAATTCAATATGAACGAAAATTAATACTGTTGCATTCGACGTCTTTAATTATTACATTTATATATGAGATAATTATGTTAAAAACAAAAAATAAATCTTATAAACAATATTGAAAATAGATCAAAAAATGTTCAACACAAATATGATATGAATAAAAAGGGTTATACTTGATCGAAGTACAATTTAAAGTGGAAAGTGTAAAATTTACACAAAAATATTAGGCATCAAGATCTCTGATCGAATATGGCTTTATCCGCAAACGCATTGTTAAATTTTAGAAATCTTCTTTCTCGTATTATACATATGTACATTATCATATTTAATCTCTTACATATAGAACAATCTGAAACTGAATGTTTGTACTTTAGAAGTAGGTGAAAAAAAAAAAAGATAATCGAGATATGTTGATCAAAACAGGTGAAGTCTTAATTTATTAAGATTGCTATAGTGACTTTCGTAACGTACATATTTTTAATGCCGAGATAATTTTGTTTGTGTTAGGAACATAAGTTAAAAGTATTTACTTATATATAAGTTAAAGATTATTTTATGTATATATATTGCTATATTGAATACCTTAGATTCCGCGATGAAAGTGTTTGCTCTGACAATATCCAAAGTAGTCACTCCGAATACGCGATTAGGATCATAAACGCCCGCCTTTTGTAGCACTTCACTCGCAATTGGTACTGTGCTGTTGACTGGATTTGAGATGATTGCTACCAAAGCCTTTGGTGCAACTTCAGCCATCGCAGCGGCAAGATCTCGGACGATGGAGGCATTCGTATTAAACAGATCATCACGTGTCATGCCTGGTTTGCGTGGAACTCCTGCAGGTATAATAACAACCTAAAAGCAATCCATGAATAAATAAATCGTGAAAATTCAAAACGAGATCGATTAATCTCAATCTAAAGAGTTAAATAAAAGGTATAAGTAACCATTTGTAAATGTAATTATTAAATATTTGTAATTATTAAATATTTGTGTTATAAACACAATAGTAGATACTAATGTATTTATCAAATACTAATATAATCTTTTTGTATCATAATGATGACACATACCTGAGAACCTTTAAGAGAATCTTTGAGCTGCTCCGGACCATTATAGGCTTTAACTTTTGCAGGAGTATTCATATGTGAGAGATCGGCAGCGACACCAGGTGTGTTCACAATATCATATAGCGATAATTCCGTAACAAGAGGGGACTGTTTGAGAAGCAAAGACAGTGGTTGGCCAATGCCACCGCTTGCTCCCATGACACTGACTTTTACATCGCGCTGCGAAAAGAATAATACAGTTAGAATTTTAACATTTTGAAAAAAACAATTTGCCTAGGACTCAATTCAAGAAAGGAGTTTAATTAAGAAAGTATACTCTGTTAAATCTTTAAAATAATTGTATTTGTAATTAATGTTTAAAAATTCTCATCTGGTGATTTCAATGTGTTTATTTTAATTTGTTTTATAACTTATTTTTTCATATAAAGGAATCATAAAAAATATGTAGGTATAACAAAGCATTCGGAATTATTCTGTTTTTGCAATCAGGTTCCGAAAATGGGCCAATGTAACATGTTAGCATTGGAGTTGAATAATTTGCAGTTGCATAACTGTTCCGATTACGATCGCGGCACTCATGGTTCTGATATATGGTAATGATATATGATAGATGACAAGCGATATCTCTTGATCTCTTCCATCGCGCCATACGTATCGTCAAAGGTCATTGAAGATTCTCTTTTTGCATTCGTCATATGAACCAACGATCCCAACAGATATAGCAAATGCGACCATAACCAGCGACTCGTATATTAATATGAAGATGTAACTTGTCTGTGTGTATATATATGTATATATAT